TGGTTACTTTAGGTCAGAATCATCTTGTTAGTTTTGGTGTTAGGCAGAGGTTCTCATTGTGCTATTGTGCACACTCTTAGGTGATCTCGTCCTCGTTTCTGTCGGTTTGCTTTTCGTTCGATGTGTTGGATTTGTTTTGGAGTGTATTCTGTACGATCCATACGTGGTTGGGTAGGTGCTGTCATTGTGGTTGGGTTGGGCGTCTCATTATCAGCTGTAGTGGTGCTGGTGGTGGCAATATCTGACCCGCTCCGCTCAAAATTGCGGTGGCGGTGCGGTATCGTGGCGGCCGCACCGCCATAGATATGGGTTTTTTGGCCAAGCGGTTATCTCACAGCGCTATCGCTCTAGGGCCTGGCATGGTGTCATAGCGCCGCAGCGCAGTTGGGCGGGATATCGGCCGGATATTGCTTTATAGTGGTATGTAGTGTATATATTGGTTTATATTGTATGTAACTACATACAATTGACAAATACTTACCTTAGTGTGATGGAAACCCTTCCTCTCCATCGATGTAAGTATGAGCATCACCATATACCCTCACCCTCCCTCAGTATCTCGACAACCACTCAACAACAATCTCTCTGTCTATGTTTCCGAGGACGGGCATATGTATCATCAACACCAAAGAATCAACAAACCCATACCATCTCGACACATACCATCTCAAAATGTTTCTAGATCACTTGACTCGCTCATTCTAGATCACGTCATCGTCTCGCTAGGGCAAGAAACCATGGAATCAAAGTGGGAACTAGGTGCGAGAATGACAGAATCACGCACCTTATGGTCAGCTTCAGCCTACCCTCATCTGGTCAATAAATACCCTGGCCTTCTTCAGGTCAGTTTCTTTTCTTCATCCGCTTTGTTCTTCATTTGTGGTGTCTAGCTCAAACTAGTTGTGTTCTCATTCTCGTATTACTTTAGATTAATCATCTTACACTCACCTCAAAAACTCGATCATTAACCATGTGTCCCCCCACCCCCAGTGATGGTTCTCCAGTCCTTGAATCAAACAAATCACCTGCTCCTACCCCTACCCGTAACCTTCGTCGTCGCGATACTTTACCTTTACCGTCCCCTGGTTTTGTGTTCCAATCTAAGGATTCTCGCCGTGCTTTAGTTCCCCCTTCCAACTCTCACAGTCACTCTCCTGCCAACTCGTCCAACTCAGACAAATCTATGTCAATCTTGATATCCGAAGAGGCATCATCCAATCAATCTGATCAATCCAGCTGCGAGTCCGACGACTCAATGCTTCGTCAGGCCCGATCAAGCAAGGCTTCTACTTCAAAGAAGTCCGTTGTAGTGAAGAAAGGACAAAGCAGCTCTGGAAAACGTCGAACGACCAGAGGTAAAGTTCCAGCCATGTTCAAAGCCAAGTCAAAGGTCCGACCGATTGTACCAGCTAAGAAGCGCAAGCGTCTCGCTGTTGAGGTGAGTGTTTCCTTTTTTTATCTTTCTTTCATTTGTTAATGTATTATTTCGACTCTCTATTTCATATTTAAATCCTAGGATGTCGAAGTACCAGTCTGCATCGACTTAGTCCAAAGCTCGGATGTTGAGGTTGTCCAATCCTCTGGAGTGCGCCGAGCACAATGTGCTCGAGTAGGTCATCTATTTGATTACTATCACCCTCCAGTCCATGTCAAAAAAGAGGTATGTGGTATTGATGTCTTGGTTTTCTTTTATCTTTTTTTCCTAATCGATTTCTCACTTTTTATTGTTTCTTCCTCATTATTTCAATTCAGACCGGGCCCGACCCCCGTGGATTCAAATGCAAGTTCTGCGATGGGATGTTTGTACGTGGCAAGAACAGCAATTATAATCTATACGGACATCGTGACGGCGCCAAAGATCGACCTGCTTGCCCAAATCGACACCTGGCCATCGAGGCAGGGATGGACCTACCTCGCACCTGGAAGCAACAGCAAGCAGCTCAGGCCCCAGTTGTAACAGGTACATTAGGTACTTTAGACTCTTTCTTATCCCGGGCAACCTTTAGTCTCGATCTCCTCAACCATGTCATGGTCATATGGATCCTGCGTCATGCGCTTGCATTTGCTCGTTTTGAAGATCGGATCCTGCGTGCAGCCTTCAAGCTTTCGAATCGACAGGCTACCTTGAGAACTCCCAAGTGGGCAGCATCCATGTCCAAGGAACTATATGTTGACCTTAGTTTGTCAGTCATCAAAGAAATTCAGGTGGGTGACTTTCTCATTTCCTTTATCTTGATCTCATTTCCTTTATCTTAATCTCGTTTCCTCTTTTTCTTTCCTTTATCTTAATCTCGTTTCCTCTTTTTCTAATTTATCTGATCTTATGTTCTGTTGATCACATTTTTCAATCTGATCTTTGACAAACAGGATAACGATGCTCGCTTTTGTTTACTCCACGATGTGTGGACTACAAAAGGCAGCAAGTATGCCTTCATTGGGGTTTCAGCTAATTACATCGACAAACAGTGGACCTATCGAACTACTCATCTTACGCTCAAACTTGTGACATGGAATCATTACGGTGTGCTTCTTGCTCAGCCAGTCGCACACTTCCTTATGAAGCATGATCTCCACAAGAAGATAAGTAGTTTCCCTTATCTTTCCTATTGATTAAAATCATATACTGACTTGAGATGGTGTTCTCTCCTTTTGTACTCTTACTTATTAGCTCAAACCACAGACTCTGGCTCGAACAACATGACGATGGCAGCGGAGCTTGAATCTGTTTTTGCAAATGCTGAAGACCCGGTTTTATGGGATTCAGACGCTAATCATGTACGTTGTTATGCTCACAAGTTAGGCCTTGTGGTTAAAGAAGGACTCAAGACGCTTGGTATCAAGACATCCAAATCAAAGCCTTCAAACCCCGACATGTTGATGCCGATTCCAACCATTCGAGTTCAAACAGCTGATAACGATGATGAGGATATTCAATATAGTTCAGATGAAGATGACTATGATATACCTCCTCATGCGCGCAAATGTTCTTCTGAAAATGATGATGATGTAGACTCAGATGATGAGATTGATGACAAAGCGTGCTCCGTAATTCTTGGGTATCAGAAGGTATGTTTACTTTCCCTTTTTGTGATTTCCTGTTTTTCCTCTCATCGTTTGATCTGCTTACTGACAATCAATTTATCCAAATCAGGCCAAGAAGTTCAATAAATTCTTATGTCGAAGTGGTGCACGTCGAGGTGAATTCAAAGGTAAGTCGTCCCAGCTTGGCTATCAGGGACCTCAGCCCATTCCTGGGTGGGGATTACGCTGGAACATCAATCTGGATGTGTCCAATCGATTGTGCTTAGCCCGTGATGTGAGTAGACTACTCACCTTTTGATTTCTCGTATTCAATTTCCAAAACTGACCAGCAATCGTTTCAGGTGGCCGATGCAATTATGACTTCTGATCGTAAGACTCGGTATTATCAGGGCCTCTCCATTTCTCCTGAAGAATGGGATGCCCTTGAGGTTTTGAATCAAGTATTGGAGGTAAGTTGAGCTACATTTCGCCTATGTTGATTTTTGCATTGATGTTTTTTTTGTTTTATTAGGTTTTTCGTGTGTCAACCAAACACATGGAAGGTGATTTCCCATCAGGTTGTATTTTATTACCAGAGTACCATCGTACTATCACTTCCCTTGAGTCGATCGAGGCCTTGACCGAATTCAATTCCATACGCAACATGATCAGTCACATGCTACCCAAACTCCGCCAATATCAACACGAGGCATCACGCTGCAACACAATCCTGGTGGCCACTGTTCTGAATCCTCAACTACGTCTCAAGATATTTGAAATTCACTACCCCGACTATCTTGAAGAAGCTAGATCGGCAGTCAAGAGACACTTTGATCACGCTTTATCTTGCTGGCCAATCACCCCACCCTCCTCCCCCTCTCCTAGTGTTTCTCAACCTACCGATACACTTTCATACGGGTATGACCTTTTTGTGGCGACTCACTCCTCTGCTGATGGTACTAAGGCTCGCGAAGCGGAGTTGCAAAGGTACTTGGATGGCCATGATGCAGTGGCACCTGGTCAAACTCCTTTGAGTTGGTGGAAGGTGAGTTTTTAATTTTGTATCATCTTCACTCTATTGTTGTGATATTAATCTATGTTGGTTTCTTTGCTCAGGCTCATGCCTCTAAATTCCCGGTCCTTGCAACCCTAGCTCGAGAATACCTTTCGGTCTCTGCCACCACTTGTGCAGTGGAACGAACCTTCTCCTCTGCAGCCGATATAGCCACACCAACTCGAGGTGCTTTATCCCCAACCACAATCACTAAG